TTAAGCCCTTTTTCCTCTGACAATCCTAATCATAACCTCCACACGAAGGAAAAGGGATTAGTCTGGTCTCCAGCTACAAGAAGCCTAACTTTCAGCTGCTAAAAACCCTGTTCACCTCTGCTTGTTGTGTTCAAGAACAGCAAAGAGATCAATATGCATGGGATGTAATTAACTAGGGAGAGGGAAGTAAGAGATACATTTGGAAGACAATGAAGGTGGATGTTTGTCAAGCTTCTGGACTCACAATTTTACTGTGATTTTCTGGGGGCTTGTTACTCCAGGGCTCCTGATTCCTAGTTCAGAATCTATAAACAGTATCTATGACTGGACAGGGCATATCTATGGCTAGACAGGGCATAACCTGGAAATGCTTACGGGAATCCTGTGTGAGGAAGGCTTTTGTCGATTTAATACACATTGTGTTCAGGGACCTTGGCTAAATAATCTTACATTCACTGTTTTATTTAACACTGTAAAATTATACATTCATCTAAAATGCAATAAAATAAATAAATGGGGAAAAATTATACATTCAGCGCTCATGAAAATGTCCAGTTCATCTGTCCCTTTCACTCCCATTCTTCTCTAGCCTGCAACCAGGCCTCTAATCATCAGCCCCTGTTATGCTTTCAACAAATTAGGTCACTTCTGGTTTTACTTGTTTCCCTTTCAACTTGAAATATTCAAGCTCTGTTAGCCAGTTTAGATTGGGTTATTCTGTGGTTACAAATGAATCCCAAGTCTCAGACACAACCAGAAAAGTTTGTTTGCTCACTCCAGCTACATATTGATCATGGGTAGGCTGTGACCCTTCTCTACAGAATTCTCATTCTGGGCCCTTGGTTGGTGGAGTTGCTCCTACCTGGAATACTGGCAGAGGAAAAAGACGTAATGTTGAGTTACATCATGGTTCTTAAAATTTCTGCTCACAAGTGACACCTGTCACTTCTGCTCACATTTCATTGGCAATAGCAAGTCACCTGGCTACACAGGTATCAATGGGCTAGATATAGTATAATCCTCCCCCAGGGAGGGGCACTGCATATTTTTGAGCTATAACAGAACATACCAAAAGCGTGTCTCTGCGGAGGCACACTCACTGCACCTGTGCTCCCGAGCCCTCTTATCCTTCTTATACACACGCTGTGCCAAACACAGAGCCTGGATCCATCCTCTCCACGTCTTGACTCCACCTCTCGGACTGCCCCATGTTGTTGGAGGCTCTGCCCTTCCTGACAGCACCAGTCTACATTCATAGTTGGGTTTTCCTCCTTTGCTAGACCACCATGATGCTCACTCATCTTTTCTTTTTCCCATCATTAACTCTGACATATGTCTGTTATTTTCAAGCTCACCCTCAAAACATCCCAAACCCTTGAGTACCTGCAGAAGATGAGCCTCCTGTTTTTTTATGGAAAACAGGGGCCTATAAGTATGAATTCTTCTAAACCTTGTAAACCCTCCTCTGCATTCCTTTTCTCCTCTCTGCTGTTTTTTATTCCACAGCACTTATTTAGCATCATTGACATATTAGCTTATAAATCTTGAATGATGGTTAACATTAGGTGTCAACTTGATTGGATTGAGAACTGCCTAGAGTATTGTTCCTGAGTATGTTTGTAAGGGTGTTGCCAGAGGAGACTGACCTGTGAGTTGGTGGACTGGGAAGAAAGACCCACCGTCAAGGGGGGTGGGCACCAGCCAATCAGCTGCCAGAGCAGCTAGAACAAAGCAGGCAGAGGAAGGTGTGATAACTTTGCTGGCTGAGGCTTCTGGCTCTCTCTATTTCTTCTTCCTGTGTAGGACACTTGCTTCCATTCCTCCTGCCCTTGGACATCAGACTCCAGGTTCTTCCGCCTTTGTACTCTGAGACTTTTACCGCGGTTTCCCTGGGGCTGTCAGGCCCTCTGGCTCAGACTGAAGGCTGCACTGTAGGCTTCCCTGGTTTTGGGGCTTTTGGACTTGGTCTGAGCCACTACCAGCTTCTCTCTTTCCCTAGCTTGCAGACAGCCTACTGTGGGCTTTTGCCTTATAATCGTGTGAGCCAATTCTCACTAATAAACTCCCTTTTACATATATGTGTATCCTATTGCTTCTGTCCCTCTGGAGGACCCTGACTAATACATCTTGTTTTTTCCTCCGCTTCCCTTTCCTCTGCTTCTACGCTTACCTAGACCACCAGCATTCCTTCCCTATTTCCTGTTCTAAGCATGGTATTCTGCCCATTTCCCATGGCTTCCCTCAGTCCTGCTCTGTTTATTCTTCTTGCTCTCTTAAGAGGAAATCCCTGCCTTTTCTTGGCTTTTTCTACTTGGTCTACATACTGGTTTCTGCTGTTCTCAGAGTCACATTGAGACATTTCATGTCTCACTGCCACTTCTTGGAAGGGTTCTCTCTACTGGGTCTGCCTGCTGAGCAGACAGACCTCTCTTGGGGAAACATGGGCACTCCTGAGTCACTGAATGTGAGCTGTTTGGTGTTGGTATGTTAATTTATCTTCTTACGCCACTTCCTTAACTTCAAAAGGGAAGGATAATTATTATTTTCCATGACTGGAAATTTATCTTCTTACACCACTTCCTTAACTCCAAAAGAGAATAATAATTATTATTTTCCATGGTTGATGTGAAAAGTATAAATAACTTATACAAAATGCATTGCAGTTAGGAGATTATAATCGGCAGTGAATGCCCTTATTGTTATTCTATCAGTCTTGGCTCAGATACCATCTGCTCTGTTAGCTCCACTCTGAATTGTATCTAGTTCTTCTCTGGGTTCATTGTGCTCTATTCTTAACTGCTTTAAAGCAGTAATTATTCTGATTCTAATTAGTGGTCCTTCTCAGTAAATTTTTAATTTTTTAGATTTTTCCCCCCACCCTGCCCCCAGCCTTACCAGTGTTTTCTTGTTTCTTGTGTGTGTGTGTGTGTGTGTGTGTGTGTGTGTGTGTGTGTGTGTCTGTGTATAGGCGGAATCACTGGTCTTCTATTTGTGGCTAAATATTTTGTTGGAAGAGTAAAGAGTTCCCAGTTCCATGGGATCTACAGTTCTACAAAATAAATATATACATAATCCGTGTAAATATTTCACAATAATTTCACTACTAAAATTGTGAAATATTAGTAGTGAAACAATATTTCATTACAATATTTTTACTACTAAAATTGTGAAATTTAGTAGTGAAACAACATTTCACTACTAAAATTGTTTTAAAATTAAAACAATTTTAAAATTTAATTTGTGTGTGTGTATGTGTGTGAGACCAGAGATTGGGGGTGGGTCTCACTATGTTTCCCAGGCTGGTCTTGAACTGCTAGCCTCAAGCCACCCTCTTGCCTTGGCCTCCCAAAGTGCTGGATTTACAGGAGTGAACCACTGCACCCAACCTCACTTTTTGTTTTAACAGATCCTACAGTGAGAGAAAGCAAGTAGCATTGTGATAGAGTAGCTAGATAGGGAGCAGTTCCGGAATGTGAAGAAAAGGAGGTGTGGAAAGGGTCAGTCCACAGAAGCTGTGGCCTTCAGGAGAAAAGCTTTGAGGTCAGGGAGCCAGGGGGGTAAATGTCCCGAGATTACTCCATCCCACCTTTTGTATCTCCTTGAAATATCTTTTTTTGGCCACTCTCCTTGAAAGAGGAGGGCAAGGGAGCCAGGACAGAAAGTGAGGTGGAGAAGAGTGGCGCTCTGGAGGGACAAGCAGGAGATACGCAGCACAACCAACCACACTAGATAACACATCAAGTAGGGGAAACTGTCTTCCACTATACAGGCTAGGTGCTACGGGACATGGGCTCTGGGTTTACACGGATTATGACTCAGTTCTTTGCTGTTGTGAAGTTGTGTTTGGATAAATCCCTCAGCTTCTCTGAGTCTTATTTTTTCATTTGTAAAATGTAGACAGAGACCTACTTTCCCTCATTGCTCTCAGGTTTAAAATGCGTCAATTAGGATACAGCAAAGTCTGTTTGATGCTGAAAACTTTCCAGCAAGAATGAACCTGAGAACAAGTCATCTCTCATCTTTGCTCTTGCCTGTAACTACTAAGCATCTACTCCATCTTCAGTGCTTAGGGATTTTATATTGTTGGCATTTTTGATTTAGTCTGGAGTGCATTGTATGGGAATATCAAACCTGCATGCTCTCCACACATTGACCATAGTCTGATCTTAGTAGGTGGTGCACATATAATTTTACTATTTCTCAATTTATTTTGGTGCTGATGTAATTAGTAAAATGCGATTTAAGAGTGTTATATATATTTTTAATCATGATGTCTTTTCATCAAAGTGATACTTAAAAGCACATCATCATCTTGTGGAGGCACGTTGACAAAATTTCTTTGTACTTAAAATGTTTAAGTGCCACTGATGTATTTTTGCTTCACGTATCAATTAGATTTTGATTTTATTTTGTTTTAGAGATGGGGGTCTCACTTTGTCGCCCAGGCTGGAGTACAGATCACCACAGCCTCAACAAGCTATCCATCTGCCTCAGCCTCCTGAGTTGCTGGGACTACAAGGGTGTGCCACCATTTTTTGTAGAGATGTGATCTCACTGTGTTTCCCAGGCTGGCCTTGAACTCCTGGTTTCAAGTGATCCTCCTATCTTGGCCTCCCAAAGTGTCGGGATTACAGGAGTGAGCCATCGGGCCTGGCACTCCGATTTATTAATAGATTTTATAAGGACATTTTAGGCCTTACCCATCAGTTTCTTAGGGCAAGCTTTTCTCTGCACTGAATAATAAATCAGACGGTAGTGCAACGAAAAACGGAGATGATTTCCCTAAGAACAAACCAAGTGCAGAAGACTCCCTGATTGTCAGAACAGCAGATAACCTGGGCAGATCTCTGAGGCTATCCTTAAACGGACGCACCGGAAACAAAAGAACTCCTCCTGGAGCACTCCCGCCGTCCGGCTCAGTCCCCACCCGCCCGGCCGCCCCGTGGGCTCCGCCCCTGCGCGCGCTGGTTGGTTCTCGCCGGCTGATGAAATTTCCCGTACGCATTACAGAAGCCAGACCGGTGTAAGCGCCAGTAGCTCCTCCGCCCGGCACGCCATCCACCTTCCGACACGCCATCCACCTTCCGACACGCCATTCACCTTCCGACACGCGGTCGGCAGACCTGGCCTCCGCGGCCCACATCGGCCCCGACTCGCTTGCGGCCAGGTAAGACGGGGCCCCGCGCCCCACGCAGCACCCTTCTCGTGGGCTCTGGGGCTGCCTTGGGGGAGGAGGATGCGCTCTGCCGCCTGGCACCCGGCGGACGGACGCGCTTTGGGTCGGCTGATGATGCATCTCCGGCAGTAGAGAGGGCGAGGTGGACGCCTAGCGATTGTTGCGCACCTCGCAGCAAGCCGGCGCGGAAGGACTTCTGTGTCCTTATCCCTGAGGCATCAAGGGAACCGCGGCCGGAAGACTGGGCCGCCCCGGAGAGAAGGCAGCGGCGACCTGAGCCCCTGTAGATGTTATATGTGTACTTTTTTTTTTTTTTTTTTTTTTTTTTACTATATGGCGTTGAAGCCCATGGATATTTTCGCGGTCCAGGACCCTGCGGAAGACAGGCTGGAGCCTCCACGTGGCCGGGGCGCAGTCGCGTGTCGTGTGGTCCTGATCTAGGAAGGAGAGACCTGGGTGTCTGTGCTTTCCCTTTCAACTGCCCCGCTTCTCACCTGGCCTCCCTCACCATGCCTCCTCCCCTCTCACCCCATCCCCCCACCAGTCACCACCCCTCTGTAGACTGCAAGACTCAACAAGTGACTTGCTGAGCAAACCCGGCCGAGAGGCAGTCTGTTTAGGGACACAGAAGGCCAAGTACAGAAAAAGGCAAAACAACTAGCGTGCCTGTTTCAATGGATGTCTGTTTTACAGGGCTGACTTCAGGTTATTGTTAAAGCTTTAAATGAAAGGACAATTTTCATCTCGGCCTGTGGCCTACATTATTTCTTTACTGTCCATTACCCTGGACACTTGGCTGATAATTTAACAGCAGTGTTTTTTTTCTTTTTTCTATTTTTTTGTAAATCATGATTCATCGCATTGCTGTAAGAGTAATTAGAGGTAAAGTAGGGCTTGTATAGTTGGTTACTTACTGAGATCTTATCATAAAAGTAAGGTGAGAGGGTGACGTTTTAAGTAGCACTAAGTGGAATAGAAATTAAATGTATTGCAACTGCAGTGTCCAATTCGGTAGGCACTAGCCACCTGTAACTTGAGCACGTGAAATGCTGGCTGGTCGGAATTGAGATGTGTTGTGTTAAATACACTGGATTTTGTCGTTGGAGTAGGAACAGTGTATAATATCTGCTCGACGAGTTTTTATATTGATTACATGTTAAAATGATACTATTTGGGATATATTAAGTATATTTAAAATTAATTTCACCTTTTTCTTTTTAATGGGGCTGCTAGCATATTTAAAATTACATATGTGGCTCACATATTTATTGGACAGCACTGCTCTAGAAGTTTATGAAAAAAAAAGAAAAATATTGAGAACAGGTAGCAACAGTAGGAACTTTGCCCTCCTGTAAGACTGATTCCAATAAAAAATAACTTACAGTTTTAATTGGCTTTTTCCTACTAGAAAAAAATAAGTGTACTTTACATGCCTCTTTGTTCTCCCTCTTTCCCCTCCAGTTTAGTGGTTAGCGTGTATTTACTATAGCAGGCTTAATATGCACAAGCAGCCTATTCTGTGATGACCACATTTGATTTTCAAAGCACTTTCCTAACCCATTTTTAATTGGTATAGAGTCAAAGGCAGATGGCTTATTAGTAGCCATCTCATTTAAATCTCATAGAGTTTTGCCACTAAGTCTGAAAGTAAAGAATTTGTTATAGGCTATTTGGTCAAGTGCATGGAAGGGACAGTGTAGAATGTGTGACATTTCAGTTCCAATTTGCTTGAGATGATTTTCATTATAACCATGTATTATTTGGTTCTGGTTTTCTGGAAAAGCCAGCTAAACCTTTGGTTCATTTAGATAAAATGAAATATCCTCAAAGCATTGCTCAAAGTGACTTATGTAATTTGAATATGTATTTTTTCCTTAGGGTGTCTATCGCAAATTATCTGGGCATTTCCTGCAATTTGCAGTTTTTTTTAAGAAAACATCAAAATTATTATTTTTCAAGTTAGATGTTTTAATAAAAATGGCCATTTTGAGCTGGTAGTAGTCAAATAAAAGAGCCCTTTATTTCACAGTTGAGAATTTGAAATTGGAAAACAATTAATGTATGTAAGGATGATTTATTTGTTTCCTGGCTTATAGGGATGAGCCAAGTTTTTTTTTTTTAGGGCTGTTGTTGCTGTATATGCCCCATCTACTTTGTTTCCTTACTGAACATTAAACTTTGAGACAGAAATATTTGAGGACATTTTTTTCGGTTAGGATATTCTGATAGCAAACATTTTGTATCTTCTGTCAACCTAAAATGTTTTATTTGTTACAAAGCCAGGATATCTGATATCAAATTAAATTGCTTTTTTTTTTTTCCTTTAGGCTTCCTTCAATAACATCTGGATACATCACTTGGAGGTAAGCTAGATATAATATAGTGAAATGCTTAAAAGAGCTGTGTATCTTAGTATTACAGATAGTAATCCTAGTATTACAGCAGTATGATTTTCTGTTCTACCCATTATATTCTACCTGCTGCTAGTTCAAGTAAAGACAGGGCATTTAACTGTCAAGGGAACCTACTCTAGTAGTTTGGAAAGTCTCTTGGATCTTTGAGGGATTTTGGGATGGAGAGAGTGGGGCTGGGATCTCTGGCTAGGTCAGAGCCAGCCTGCATTTGTTTCTGTATCTTGGAAGCAAACTTAGATTGCAGAAATAGATGTGGCCTGGTTGCTGCCAGCTCTAGCCAACCACTAAGGTGGGAGAGATGCAGGCTTTGGCTGGGTGCTAAGCTGCTGTAGCTGGTTGGATGTAGAGGTCACTATCTTTTCTGAATACTTGTAAGTAAATTAAATCATTCTCTACTCCCATGGGCCTGTCAACCTAATGGGAAATAGCTATAGAAAAGGTGGTTTACATTTTAGTCTTTGAAGTGGATTATGCATGTTTCTGGAATCAAGATTTAATGCAGACTTGGATTGGATATTGAATATTTTTGATTTGTCTGCTTTTCTCTCCATAGAGAGCTTATAGTTTCATTGCACCATGTGTGGCATTTGGGCCCTGTTTGGCAGTGATGACTGCCTTTCTGTTCAGTGTCTGAGTGCTATGAAGATTGCACACAGGGGTCCAGATGCATTTCGTTTTGAGAATGTCAATGGATACACCAACTGCTGCTTTGGATTTCACCGGTTGGCAGTAGTGGACCCTCTGTTTGGAATGCAGCCAATTCGAGTGAGAAAATATCCGTATTTGTGGCTCTGTTACAATGGTGAGATCTACAATCATAGGAAGGTAAGGAAAAAGAAGCCAGATGTCTGGAAGTGATTAAACTTCAGAGTTTGTTGGTTATGATGATATTATATATTCTGTATCATGCTTTTTACTTTGCAAAACACTCTGTTATCTCATTTGTATGTAGATAGCGAACTGATGAATAAAAAGGTGAATGAAATGACTTGGTCACCAAAAAAAGTGATAAAAATGGAGATTACAGTTCAATTTCTTTTATTCTTAGAATATTTTCTCCTTCTCCCCAATTTTTCATTTGATGACATACAGAAAATAATGGAACAGTGAGCACCTTGATTGAATAGTCATTAACGTTTTGCCATATTTGCTTGATTTTTCTTTCTACACAAACAGACACGCACACACACTTTTTTGCTGTATCATTTGAGAGTATGGTGCAGATATTATGACACTCCTAAATATATAAGCATTTATCACCTAAGAATAAGGACATTCTTCTTTGTAACACCAATACCATTATTAAATCTAAGACTCCATAATACTACCTAATACCCAGTTTATACTTAGATTAAGTTTCCCTAAGTGTCCTGAGAATGTCTTTTTTTTTTTTTTTTTGAGACAGAGTCTCACTCTGTCACCCAGGCTGGAGTGCAGTGGTACGATCTCGGCTCTCTGCAGCCTCTGTCTCCGTTCAAGCAATTCTCCTGACTCAGCCTCCTGAGTAGCTGGGACTATAGGCACCTGCCACCATACTCAGCTAATTTTTTGTATTTTAGTAAAGATGAGGTTTTGCCATGTTGCCCAGGGTGGTCTGGAACTCCTGAGCTCAGGGTATCAGCCCACCTTGGCTTCTCAGAATGCTACCAAGAATATCTTTATAGCTAATTTTTGTTTGTTTTGAGCTAGATTTCATTCAAGGTTCATGTATTTGGTTGTGATGTTTCTTGATATTTTTTGAGATTTCTTGATAGCTGCATGTCATGCGTTGATAGAGATGTATATCCTAACCACCTTTTGGACATTTTTATCTCTGAACAATAGCTTTGTCATTGTTTGTTGCTTGCTCATAGGAACACTTTTAATAATAGTCTTCTCGTTTAAGAAGTTTTAAAATAGTTATTCAGGAAATTCCTTTCACACATTTCTTTATTTCTTTGTTAAGGGCCTACTATGCATCAGACCATTTTTCTAGGTGATTGGAGAGGAAATAGGGAAAAGAAGAGGCAAGAATGGAATTTCCTGCTAGTGGGAGGTAGAAGAAGAGAGTATTAAAACTTTTTTCTTTCTAAGTCAAATCAGTGTCATGTGTATGAGAATGCTAGGTGGTACTATGGCATTATCAGCTTGGCTTTCCCCTTAAATGAGACAGGAAGTGCCCCTTTAACTTGAACAGTATTGTTGCTTTTGTTAAAAAGTTGCAAGAAGTTAAACATTTCAAATGTAATTAATGTCTATTCTAAGTTAGCCAAATGTTATATTTGTAAAAGTAGAGAAGTTTGTTCCATTGCTTTTACCAAACATCTAAGCTTATGCAGTTGGGGCAGCTAGAAATTCGTCTAATGAGCAGAATGTAAATTTTAGGTTTATATAAAGTATTCTGCAACATAAGCTCAAAAATCCCCCCCATTCCCTTTTTGATAAAAATAAAGTGTACTACTAATAAAATACAGCCAGAGGTATGCTGGGAGTGGAGGGAGACTGAATGAAAGAGAGGAGGAATGGGATAAAGGCTGGGGCAAAGAGCAGTCCCTGTCCCTGCAGGAGAGTGTCAGAGGGCTGCAGCCAAGTCAAATGCCAACGTGACTTCAGGAGGCAATATTTGAGGGCTTTTATCTAAGATGCAGCATTGGAGTTTCGTTTTAAGAGAATAGGAAGTGATACATCCATTACCCGAAGGTTGCTTCTCCTTTTTAAATAAATTACCTGCAAAGTTTAGGCCAAAGCTGTAGGCAAGGTAGATTTGGGAAGCTGTTGATTGCTGTCACCGAATGCTTTATGGTCACTTACCTTTCAGGCAGTTCAACCCAGAACAGTCAGCTGAAGACTGTTTTCTGACCCCACCTGCTAGTTACAGGATTATCCCTGATGGAGCAGAGAGGGGGACCAAATAGGGGAGAAAGGCCATTTTTGGACAGTTCAGTGAGGGCTTATAGACAAAAGTTTTACAAATCAGGGAGTGAGCTGAATGGAGTGTGAAGCATATTTTTGGGTCATGCACATAAATAATAGATTTAGTTTTTGAAATTTGAAAACCTGTTTTAAACTTAATCTAGGATTTCTACCTGATTTAAACCTCTTTCTCTAATGTCCACCAAAAATGTGAATAAAAGGTATGAAGAAGAATACATCAAGGACTTTTTATCCTCGTAGTTTGCCAGTGATGATGGAGGGTGTCAGAACTGGGGAGTAGCCTATCAAACCTTGTTACTCTGTATGCAGTGGCAGACAGTCTTTGCTGTTCCTCTGGGGAATGCAGACTAATAAAGCACCATTGTCAGTTTATCAGTGAGGAGTAGCTTTAATGCTACTGCAGTAGTGGAAGCACTGGGCATTGTCATCCGCCCTTGGGGACCAGCAGCTTTGTTTTGGATCATATATCTGTTATTGTGATGGAGTCATTTTTCAGGGAATGATACCAAATGATGTTTGTCCCTGTGCTTTACATTTTTATAGATAGGTCTTTGAAGCTGAACCTGAGGAACTTCTTAGCCAATGCTATCTTCTCAAACCAAAAGTTTACAGTTGCACAAGACACATTTTTTAGTATCATGGCAACCAGGCAGCCTATTATCTTAAATTTAGAGGGTGAGCGTCCTTAAACTGAAAATCCGAAATTTGAAATGCTCCAAAATCTGAAACTTTTTGAGCACTGACATGAGCATGTCATGTGCTCAAAACTTTTTGAGCATGTACATTTTGATGTCACTGTCAAAATGCAGGCAGTCTGTTTGGTGTTCCCTAGGGAAGAAAGACCCTCTCAGCCCCTTTCAGCTGCAGTGTAACTTTTCTACTCATGCCCAGATTTCCCCATGCAAGTACGCCCACAAAGGGTAATAGAATGGCACGTGTGGAAGCTGGACACCCCAATGGCAGGATTCCCACAGATGGGACCTGTATGCATTACCTGTTGTATATTTTTGCTTATTCTCTGCTCTGTGGCGTGAAGATACTGAAAATGACAAAAAGGCCTGTAGAAGTCCCTGTGAGCAGCAATGATAAGAAAAAGTAGAAACGTGTGTTTATATCCCAGAAAGTCAAGCTGTTGGAGAAATTGGACTGTAGTGTAAAGGTATAGATGACATGGTGAAAATGTTTGATAGAGATACTGAAGGACTAGTGCTACCTGCATTCATAGCAGAACAAGAGGTTATGTCAGTTTATAGAAACAAAGAGACTTCCAAGATGAAAGCTATTGCTAATGAGGCAGATGACTCTGGAGAAACATTTTAAAAAGCCATCTTGCAGAATGCCTCCCCAGCCTCAGAGGACCCACTTTCTAGTTGCTCAACTGCTTCTGATATTCTCAACTAAAAAGAGAAAAGAAAAATACAGTGGACAGTAACTTTTAATCAAAACACAGCATTGTAGGTGGAGTCTGAAAGCCTGCCGTTATTTATATAGCTGTTTAACAGCTGATGCAGGTATTCTGGTGATGCTACTATACTGCTTATTTTCTTACTATATTAATTGTATGTCATATTTTTTACTTATGTGTGAATAAGTGTATAAAAATGATGACTCATCAGTAGCATATAAATTCAGAGTCGGGAATGATGGTCAGTGATATCGAACAGCCACAGATACATGGTAGCTGAGATAGTGACACCTTTACTTTTTGATGGTTCCATGTACACAAACTCTGCTTCATGCACAAGATTATTTGAAATGTTATATAAAATTACTTTAGGCTATGTGTGTAAGATATATGAAACAAATGAATTTCATATTTGGACTTGGGTCACATCCCCAAGATATCTCACATATATGCCAATATTCCAAAAACAAACAAACAAAAACCCAAAACACTTCTGTTTCTAAACATTTCAGATAAGGAATAGTCAATCTGCATATATAAAAATATATGTGTATTACATACGTGGTGCGTGTATAGTATGCATTTCCATCCCTCCACAGGTTACGATTCTGGTACATTCCCATTACGTTATGTTTATCAGACTGCAACCAAAATTTTCATGGGTTCAACTTTATGTAATGAAGATTTTAGTTGCAATCTGATAAAGAATTTGCAGAATTATGAGCAGAAACAAACCCTAATTTGATAACGTTGTGATCTTCCTAAATCACCAAAGTGCATGAAATAATTATAGAGCTCAAATACTGAAGCGACTTTGCAATAAAAAATTATTAGTGAATCCACAAGGAGTCTAACGTTTTGGTTTTGCTGTTGCTTCCTAAGATGCAACAGCATTTTGGATTTGAATACCAGACCAACGTGGATGGTGAGATAATCCTTCATCTTTATAACAAAGGTGGAATTGAGCAAACAGTTTCTATGTTGGATGGTGTGTTTGCATTTATTCTACTGGATACTGCCAATAAGAAAGTGTTCCTGGGCAGAGATACATATGGAGTCAGACCTTTGTTTAAAACAATGACAGAAGATGGATTTTTGGCTGTATGTTCAGAAGCTAAAGGTAATAATAAATTTTTCTGTAGATTTTCATTATTATCTTGATTGTGTGTTTTCTTTTAAGTTATATTTGAAAATCTCTTAGAGAGCAATCCAGAATTTTGCAAGTGACTAAGTTATGAGTCCTTACCTTTCCTTAAAAAACAGAGGAGTTGCACTCTCCTTTTCAGCACTTAAATTCTGTAATCCTTGAAGGATGAGTCTTTACTGCAGTCATTTGTTTTTTGCTGTGCTAATATGCTCTGTATCTAGCTTGATCCTAAGTGCAGTTTTAAGTTTTCCTGTGTCATACTGTAATGGTAGAGTTGGCTCTGCAATTATTGCACTGCGGTACTTTGCCGCAGTTATAGCACAGCAAATATTAGGATTTCTAAAATAGCTTTATTGATCATTCACATACTGTGTAACTCACCTACTTGAAGTATACAGTTCAGTGGTTTTTAGTATATTCACAGATGTTGGTAACCAACACTCCAGTCAATTTTAGAATTGTTTTTCCACTTCAAAAAAACAAATCAAATCCTATGTCCTTTACCTTATTTTTTACTGGCAAGATCAACCAGGTTTTTGTTTTTGTTTTCTTTTAAGAGATGGGGTCTTGCTCGGTCGTCCAGCCCAGTGGTGTGATCATAGCTTAGTGCAGCCTTGAACTCCTGGGTTCAAGCAATCCTTCCACCTCTGCCTCCCTAGTAGCTAGGAGTACAGGCACTCTTGTACCACAGCATCCTGCCTTCTGTGCCCTTGAGCTTTCAGTTCCATCCTCCATATCCATCATCCGCACCCCTGCAGTCGTAGCCCCGACAATGACTTATCTTTCTGCCTCTGCATTCCTTATTCTGTATGTTTCATTTGAATAGGATTATATCATATGGCTTTTGTGACTGGATTCTTTCGCTTGGCACAATGCTTTCAAGATTTGTCTATGCTGTAATGTATATGAGTAGTTACTTTTTATGGCCAAGTGATACTGCATTACATGGATACACTGCATTTTGTTTATCCACTTGTCAGTTGATAGACAATTAGGACGTTGTTTACCCCTTTTGGCTATTATGAATAATGCTGCTATAAACATTGGTGTACAAGTTTTTGTGTAGACATTTCTCTTGGGTGTATATCTAGGAGTAGAATTGCTGGGACACATGGTAACTATGTTTAATTGAGGAACTGCCAGTCTATTTTTTGAAATGGCTGCATTGTTTTTTGTTCCCTTCAGCAGTGTATTAAAATTTCAGTTTGTCCACATCTTCGCAAACACTTACAGTGTGACTTTTTAATTCTAGCCATTCTAGTGTATGTGAAGTGGTATCTCATTGTGGTTTTGATTTGTATTTTCCTGTTGACAGTGATGTCCGGAGTTTTTTATCTCATGCTTATTAGCCAATGTGTATATCTTCTTTGGAGAAATATTTGTACAGATTCTTTGCCATTTTTTTCCTGCTAGGCATCATTTTATTTTAAAATATAATAGACTTTATTTTTCATTCTTTGCCATTCTTTTTCCTGCTAGGCATCATTTTATTTTAAAACATAATAGACTTTATTTTTCATTCTTTGCCATTCTTTTTCCTGCTAGGCATTTTATTTTAAAACATAATAGACTTTATTTTTCTTTTTAGAGCAGTTTTAGAAAAAATTGAGAGGAAAGTGCAGAGTTCACATATGCTCCCCCCTTCAGTGCCCCTACCCAGTTTTCCCGACGCTTAACATCTTGCATTACTGTGCTATGTTTGTTAGATTTGATGAACTGATGCTTATGTGTTAACTGAAGTTCATAGTTTACATTAGGGTTCACTCTTTGTGTTTTTTGGATTTGACAAATGTGCTCCACTTATTCATTCCTCCCCCTCCTCTTCCTCCTAATCCCCTAGTCATTGCTGATCTTTTTACTTTCTCTCTAATTTTGCCTTTCCCAGAATGTCATATAAATAGTTGTAATCATATAGTATGTAGCCTTTTCAGACTGGCTTCTTTCACTAACCAGTATACACTTAGGGTTGTTCTGTGTTTTTTCATGGCTTGATAGCTCATTTTTTAAATTGTTGAATAATATTCCATTTGTTTGCATGTACTGCATTTTGTTTATCCATTCTTGAATTATCCATCTCTAATTGGGTTATTTTGTCTTTTTATTACTGAATTGTAACAATTCCTTATGTATTCTAGATACAAATCCCTTGTGCTCATCAGGGTTATAGGATACAAGATCAATATACAAAAATCAATGGTATCTGACACACTTTTAACTGAATACTACATAATTACAATGAGGAATCTGAAAATGAAATTAAGAAAGCAACTTCATGTATAATAACATCAAAAAGAATAAAATACTTAGAAATAAATTTCAGAAGTATAAAACTTGTACTCTGTTAGCTATAAAACATGATTGAAAGAAATGAAAGAAGATTTAAATAAATGGAAAAGTATCCCAGTGATTATGGATTGAAGGCTTAACATTATTAAGATGGCAGTCCTCCCTAAACTGATCTACAGATTTAACTTGATCCCTATTAGCATCCCACATGAGTTCTTTGTAAAATTGACAAGCTGACTGTCAAATTCATATGGAATTGCAAGGGACTAAAGAATAGCCAAAACAATCTTTTGAAAATGAAAAAAGTAAGAGAACTCATATTTACTGACTTTAAAACTTGCTACAAGACAATGATAATAAAAACTGTATAATACTAGAAGAAAGATAGATGTATAGACCAATGGGATAGAATTGAGAGAGGTGAACCCATGTATATATATAATCAACTGATTTTTGACAAGGGTGCTAAGATTATTCAGTGGGGAAAGAAGTTCAAAAACTGGCACAGGGACAACTAGATATGTAAATATATGCAAAACCTGAAGTGTTGGACCTTTACCCAACACCAAATACAAAAGCTTGATACAAAAAAATGAATCAAATGGATCCATTTTGAGCTAATCCACATAAAACTATAAAATCCTGAGAAGCAAACATAGGAGTAAATTGTCATGACCTTGGATTTGGCAAAGCTTTCTTAAATATGACACCAGCAACAATAATAGAAATTGATGAATTAGACTTCATCAAAATTAAACATTTTTGTACTTCAAAGGACGCCATCAAGAAAGCAAAACGACAACCCACAAGAGGGAAGAAAATAATTGCGAATCATGTATAGCACTTTTTGATGAAGAAGCGGAGGAAGACATTTAATTTTTTTATTCCTTACCTACACAGCAGTAACATCCTAAAATCTCTCTCCCTGCCTCTTTTTGCCATTCTTTAAATTCTTTCTCACTTAATTTTCAGATTTAATATTGGCTGAAACAGGATAATGAGATCAATCAAATGGGTCCTTCGGACACTAGTCACAGTGACTGTACTAATACTGGAACTTTTATTTTCAGGCATTTCTAGTGTGATCAGATGGCAAAGAACAAGTATATATGTCAGTTGCCAGGACTGCTGGGCAAGCCTGGCAAAGAGAACACCCCAGAAAAGCAGCCTCCTGTTCCTCTGTGCCTTCTTTCAGCCTGATGATCACTTGACATGGAGCTATAATCACATCCAGTTGTAACTCTGAAATTCCTTGATAGTTTTCTATATCCATTTGGTCCTTTTCCAGACCAAATGATCTCATCTGGAAGACTGCAACAGTTTTCCTTTCTAAGTGCTTTTAGAATAACCTGTCAAAAACTCATCTGATTATAGTACTGCCTGCTTAAAACCTTTAAATTACTCCCCATTCCCTTCCCAGGCTGAGTAGCTCACGAGCTCTGATAGCTGGTAAGGGAATCTGGGTCCTTGTTCTGGTATTTGAATTCAGTGCTACACAGGTTGCTGGCTGGGTTGACAATCTCAAATTGTAAATCATGAGTATTGCATATAGCCTGCTGCAATTTACAAGAAAACATCGATGTTTGTGTCAAAGATCATGGTGATGTGAGGCTGGGTACTTTCTGTGGGAATTTTTTGAGGAAATTTAAGTTATATGGTTTTATTCACATATAGTGCATAACAACTAGTTAAGGGGTAGATGTCTTATCTGACTTTAAAGTAGCTAAGAGTGGATCACTGAACTTGTTAAAGGTCTGGGAACCATGGCTATTTTCTGAAAATACCTCAGTGATGACAAATAAATGACTACCAGCTTATCATAACATTAGGACTCCATTTCTTCCCTTTGCCTCATAAGTGTGTCTTTTCCTTTGGTATGTATTTGCTTTAGTATAGAAAATAGGTTTTCTTGGTTAGAAATCTAAGAAGAAGAAATTGAACACTGGAGATTTTTCTATTGCTTTGAATTACCAAAAGTTAGTGTAATTTGGCAGTATATCACTGTGCCATTATTATCTTTCCAGTAAGTAGATGGTAGGGCTTTGGGTGATTAAAATTTTTTTTCCTATTTTGCTTATTTAGTGGGCATGCATTTGTATTGAAAAGGGAAAATAAATAGGAATGTAGAGGCTGTTAACTAATCGTGAAAGGTTGCCTAATTTGAACAAAGGTATGATTTTGAATTTGTAGGTCTTGTTACGTTGAAGCACTCTTCAACTCCCTTTTTAAAAGTGGAGCCTTTTCTTCCTGGACACTATGAAGTTTTGGATTTAAAGCCAAATG